CCTTCAGCTGTAACTCTCTGATCAAGCAGATTCACTGACTAGTCAATCAGTGCAACAATCAATGCATGTCTGAATAGCTTCCCTAAAACTAGTTAGATGTAGGCACAATTAAAATCAGATACATTAAAAGCAAACAATACCAAGCTACCTGCTTCTTATCTCCACGCTAGTTAATAATATCTGCACATAGTTTATGAATCATTTGGAGTTTTTCCAGGTCCCAGCCCCGACAGTGCGCGCGCACACACACACACACACACACATTGTGCTCCTTGAATACCACGTTTTGTTGGATGTGCAAGATAAGACTTTGAAGGACAGCGCTGTACTAAACAATACGCACGAATTTACATCATATAAACACTAGTTAGACGTAATACATCGCCACAACATTTAGTCCACTCAAGAGAAAATTCGGAGTATGTACTTTATAACGTCGCAGTATTTCAGTAAATCACTGCCGTTCATGAATCTGCAGGCCATCCGTCTCCGCGAGTCGAACTTGTGGTGGGCTGGGTGGCTCATACCGGCAGGAGTAGAGGCCCTCTTCGCCCGGAACTCAACCACGCCAGCCTTAAATAACACCGAGTAAAGATTTGACCCAAGAACGTGTACGTTCTAATCTAGCCAACAACACAGGTTTACGTATTTAATGTGAAACAACTTGCCGTTAGAGAGCAGGCCATCAGCTTGCATCGTTTATAACAGTTTCGTTTCTCATTAGTCGCCATCTCAATCCACTTTCAGCCCGTCAGTGGCCAGAGCATGTTAGCTTAACCAGCTAGCATTGTATGTAAACCAACAGACCAGCTACTGGACAAAACTTAAATACGTAAAACTTGCATGTCGTGCAAACCCACCTGCCACCGCCGGCGCCTTCTTTGTCCTTTCGGCTGTTTTGCGGCCTCACTTATAATATGGTTTCGGCCTGGGTTGGTGGACGATGTGTGGCTGACCGGTGGATTACAAAAGCTGGCTAACCTGCTAACCCTATTCGGCTAACGATGGTTAGCTACTTTGCTCGCTGCTAACAAACCGCTCTCCACATGCACGGCTTTTTATGTTTTCTGCCTCTTTCAAGCCGTCGTTGTCTGTCAGGCTGTTTCTGCGGGAACCGGTACACAGCCGTTCCGTATCTCCTCACCCGTTATCTCGTGCAGGACCGTTTCTCTACTTAAGTGAGGCCCCGCTCGCGCCGCGGCCTGTCACACAATCAAAGATGGCAGACTAAGTTGCCAGATTTATTCTTGCATATCCCCCTCTTAAAGACTCTAAGCCGTTGTATAGTTGCTCAGCCACATATTTGTTATTATCAGCGGCACTCATTCAGAAAAGTCAGCCACACAGATTCAGTTTTCTTCACAGAGGAAATGCTATAAATATCTCATTCACTAGCTGAATTAGCCTATAATTATGCACAGACATTAATTGGTCTCTCTCTTGAGCTGATGCAGCGGCTGAAAATTCAGGGTCTGCACAACTATGGCACTATCACAGAACAAGGTTAAAAAGCTGGACTGAAACACTGAGTTTGTGTGGTGGTGGTGGTGGTGTGAAATGCTGTTCAGGCAGAAGTTTTAATAATTTGAAATTTTTATTTTATTAATTTTTTATTTCTATTGTAGCTATATTCAGAAAAAGCAGACTATTGCATAGTAACTAAGCACAAGTACCCTCACAGTCACTTTGTGATTTGATTACAGGTGGATACACTGACATATATAATCCACTTAGACATGAAAATAATATTATTTTTAAAACCATATTATTATTAAAACACTGTGACAACTATCTTGATAGGACTAGACAACACACTATTAAATTCACATGGTACAGTTTTATAGCTGGTTTTGTACTCTGCAACCACACAAACACAGCCAAATTATCGTGTTCTCAAGTATACATGTACTATACAGCCTATGCCATTCATGTAGCATCATATCATTTAGCACCCCTAAACCTGGCAACCCAAACGGTAACGAGTCACATGTGAACGATTCTTGTTCCGGGGTGCAACGAGCAGTGGTTAGGTTGAGTCTAAAGTTTGTATCCTTATCACAAACTCCAGTATTGCCCTTTTAAACGTTTTTGGGAAACCACTAATTATTAGCCAATTAGCGGACGACACAACCATATTTTTGCAACAACTGTCAGAAGTCCCCAATGTTCTTCATGCTATTCATACATTCTCCAAAGCCTCTGGTTTAGAGTTAAATTTGAATAAATGTGAGCTTATGCCTGTTCAAAAATGTAATTTAACAGAAGCTTACAATATTCCTATTAGACAAGACGGTTAAATACTTGGGTATACGCATCTCTAGAGACTCAGCTGTATGTAATAAGAAAAACATATGGATGACTATCAATGTATGTCATTAGACTGAACCTATGGTTAATGAGAGACATCAGCTTAATGGGAAGGGTATTTCTGACTAAAATGGAAAGCATCTCTAGATGCATCTATCCAGCCTACTCGCTAAGCATTCCAAACGATGCTATTAAACAGATTAATAAAATTAACTTTGACTATATATGGAAAAATAAAAGTCTACTACTAAAAGAGCAGAGTTGAATAAGAATTTTAAAATGGAGGGGTTTGCAAGCCATTGATTTTGATTTTATTAATGAAACTTTAAAAATGAATTGGTTAAAATCCTTTTTGAATAACAATAACCTCTGGTACCACATTCCCAGAGAAGTGTTTAAAAAATTAGGAGGCATAGAGTTTTTGCTTAAATGTGACTTTAATATCCCGAATCTCACGGTCAAATTATCAGTTTTTCATCAGCAAGTCTTACTATATTTGAAACTCCTATATAATCAAAACTTCACACCCCACAATACCCCAATCTGGAATAATATATATATATTAAGATCAAGAACAAATCGTTGTTCAATAGTGACTGGATGGAGAAAGGCGTTTGGTTGGTATTTCATCCTATTGACACAAATGGCTCCTTCTTATCATATGAAAGTTTTTGTGTCAAATATGGGAGAACTGATGATCGTAACACATTCAATGCTATAATCAAAGCAATCCCTACCTCCTTCTTGTGTTTGATTAAAGGGTATTTAAGTAATCCTACTCCATTCAGCCCATTTCTCCCACAGCTTTTAATTGGAGGCTGTGCTTTCAATCAACTCAAATACCCAAACAAAAAATTAAGAAATATCCTAAACAATATCTCATGCACTTCTTCTCAATACAGAAATTCTATCCTATTCTTCTTTTCAAAGGAAACTGTTTGCTTGTTATAGACAAAGTACTTGCATTTCCCTATTGCTCCGAAAGCCAAAGAGCTTCATTTCAAAATCTTGAATGGCATATATCCATCCAGTGCTTTGTTGAGACATCGATTTGGCATTGAATCCAATAACTGTGTATTTTGTGATGGAGATGAAAATGGAGAACATCTTTTATTCCAATTTATGTTTGTGAAGAACTTTTGGCATGAGGTTTTTGTATGGTTCCAATCAAAGATTCACCTCCTAAATGACTTCACCCAAAAAGACATTACTTATGGTCTCCTGATGGACAATGCCAATGCTGACTTTCTGATCAACAACATCATCATTATTGGGAAATTTCATTTACATAAATCTAAGTATATGAAAATTGTACCTCGTTTCTGTATATTTCTCAATGAGTTTCTTGTTTTTGTCAAAGCCCTCAGTCTAATGAAAACCAAAAATGCTAAAAAACTTTTTAATTTAATTGAAGAGTATAATTTAATACCAAAGCCCTAATTGACATGACTTTTCACTTTTTAATTTTATTTTATTCAATCTTATTATTACTACATTATTTTATTCTAACCTTATTTTATTTATGTATTTAATCTAGCCACAGGTGTTGCAAGCCAGTGACTTCTGTGCCGGTCCCAAGCCCTGATATCTTGTCTTGTTCTTTGTTAATGCACCTGCTCTATGGTATGGAATACTAATGTTTGCCACATTCGCTGTAAATACATTTGTTCAATAAATAAATACAAAATAAAAATAAACTCTTTCAGGACCAGCAATGACCACAAAAAAAGAAAGATTGAGTCTAAAGTACCCCTCATGGATCAGTTACTATCTATCCATCCATCCATCTATCTGTCTAGTTGGGAGGTTGTTTAACTTTTAAGAATACAACTGTTTACATAATTTCACACCTCCAAAGTAAAGTTAATACATAAAAAATGTCTCTTACACTATGGCATACTGACAATTTGTAAAATAAAATAAATACATCCTGGAACAATAGCTATAAAGATCAGATTCTACCACTTACACTCTGATGACAATTTGGAAAAATGGACCATATGGTTTGTAAAATGAGCCTGCAAGTTTTGTGAGTAAAAACATCACTCTTTATATCATTTTTGAATGATTTTATCATTTTTTAATTGATATTTAGTTTATTTCATAACAATAGTCTAAAACTGATTATTTTATAACCCAGAAAAAGAAGCAAACTCATAATGCATTGGGGTATTGTGTCAGGATGCCCTGGCTAGTGACCTAATATTAACTCTATTGCCAGTCTGTGTACTTCTCCACAGCCTGTCCTCTATGGGCTGATTCTTTCAATTTCACTTTATCTGCCCTTTTCCACTCAACTCCTGTGTTTCATTCCTCTTCCCTCTGATATAATATTTGCCATATTCTTTGCAGTGTAAAGCAGTTTACTAAAACATCTACCATTCCACTACCATTCTTTATAACACTCACTAAAATGGTTTCATACTGCTTTTACACAGAATATCAAATAGCTACACAAATCTATACTTGCATAGAGATACTGTATATAATTAGCAAAAACATTTCTTGCACATACAAACCAATAGTGTTTCATAATGTTTCATTCTTTCTTGGTCACCTAATCATTAGGCCTGGACTAGTGTGGGCATTTACCAAGAAGTATTTACGTAGCTATTAACTTTTAAATTTAAGCATAGAAAACCTAAATCATGTAATTTCTAACAGAATAATGAAAATGATCATTAAACATTTTTAGCAAATACAATGTGGTCAATTTTAATTTAAAGATGCAACCCAAATAACTTTTACTAAGAAATGAATGCATTTTTAAAAAAATATTTGATTTCTTATATACTTCATCATGACACTGAAGATATGATAGATACTTTGCATCATTAAATTGTTTTCATTAATCTATGACCCTTATTATGAAAATGTCCTTGCAGCACGCTGGAGACACTTACCCTGTGGGTCTCGTGCCTTTGTGTCAAGTCTAACAAGTCAAGTACACAGTAGCAACTGTTGACCAATAAAATTTGTTTCTACTCATCAATTACTGTTGCATCAGCAACCTGAAATGATGGTCAGTGACTGGCTACCAAAACTGACAACAATAGGACATGCCAGTCTTAAATGGCCCATTTTATTCAAACTCACCCTATCTATTTTGTTGTTTTGTACAATCCATTGTAAATGAAAGAATAGGTAGGTCCCCAACATTAAAATGTTGGCCTATATGTATTGATTTTTTATTTACAAAAACAGACCTAAATCAACATTTAAAAACTAAAATTAAAAATTGTAAATGGGACAACCTTTACCCAACATGAACTACCTAAAATTAATATGTGGGCTACTAGACCAAAATTAGGGGTTATTCTAATAAATGACATTTACCCCCCCCCCCAAAGCCACAGTTTTCTTGACCACATGTGCATTGAATGATAAACCTAAGCCAACTAGATTTTTTTAAATTACCAAAGCCATTGGTGAGATTATTTGGAGTTCTGGTGAACAACCATACAGTGTCTCTCCTTGGTCATTAGGTGGCATCATGGACCACTGTACATGATCACAGTGCAATCTACAGTAGATACCAAGTAATAACACAAACTACCAGAGGTGTAAAAGTAATACATTAACAGAATTACTGTGCTTGTGTACAGATTTGAAGTACTTGAGTAATTATCCCTCAGGGTCCTCCTGTTAGTTATACTAAAACACTTCATTTTTATGCAGAAAAATATTCAGTAACTTCACTTTTACAGTGTAGAGTCACCACAATCACTTCAAACATCAAGCGTCTCTTGTTGGTTATACTACAACAGTCAATTTGGGAAAAAAGCTTTTGCACAATTTTTGGGAATTTTATAAAGACAATATTCAATGTCACTGAAAAACAAGCAAGCTTGGTCTCTATACACTCTAGTCTTAGTTTCAATTTAGGTGGTCCTGACCACAACATTAATTACCTGAACAATAAATTAACACTTAATGGGATGTGTACATTAATAT